TATGGTGTGATAGGACCCTTATGGATGGAGCATTTTATCATATAGAACTGATTCACACTAGCCAGTATAGAAACACACAAAGTTTTCCCATGTGGGCAGCTGTCCATGTGAGCTCTGGCACAGACTTGTGCAATACCAGACTCAGCACATTGACTGCTTACATTTTTCTTTTAAGTTTATTTGAAGTGTCACATAGTACACATCATTCATGTGTTTTTGCACAGCAACACAATGCCCTCCAGTGCATTGCGTAAATATGTAGACATGCTTTTTTTGTGCTGCATTGCACATCATACCAGCATTATGGTGTGAACAGGGCACATACAAACAATTCTCTTATATGTGCCCTAGTGGTGACCTGCAGTGTGGAAAAAAGCAAGTCACCGAAGAGAATCTGAACAAGCCGTTAGTAATGTCCATAATCATAATCTAATATTTTATAGAGGATTTTTCAATTATAATACTCAAAAAGTTGAACTGTATTCTTCCATGGGCCCAAAAATGTCGCTTTTGATTTTTATAATCAAAAGGGTAACTACTGCGAAACAATGGATGACAAAAACCATCTCCTTTAATTAAGGTGCCGCACAGGTCTTGTGAATAAAGCTGTGTCTTTCAATGGTTAAAGGGGAATAATTCTAGAAGATAGAATTTGACAGGTACCCGCTCCGATCACTTAGGCTATTGGAAACGGAAGGTGTCCTCCTCTCTCCCTGTAGTCTTTTGGGACACGTGACAGGTCCCAGAAGACTACCGGACCATTCATGAAGCGCAGCGCTACTCGCGCATGCGCAGTGGGTACCAGACTATGAAGCTGCAAGCAGTCACAGCCGGGTGCCCCCACTGAAGATGCTGGCCTCCAGGAATACCGGACAGCCGGTGAAACAGGCTGCGGGGGACACACCGGGGGACCAAGGGACAGGTAAGTGGCTGTTTTTTTTAAAAGTCCTCAGCTACAGTTTTTGTAACTGCTGACTTTTATTTTTTGACAGGGTGAGCGGAACTCCGCTTTAAGTAACGCCCTTTTATAATCAACTGTCTGCTGGACACCTGTTTAATGAATAATGTTAATTAGGATTTTTTGTTGAAAATTTTGCTTTGCTCCTAAGACTTTCATTGAGTTGTACTCATTTTTGCAATATGGTCTTGAATTAACTTGTTAGTAAAAATACTTTGTGTGTGCAAATAAACCACTTGCCCTCCAGAGGATTTACCTCCCTTCCTGACCAGGCCATTTTTTGCATTCCGACGCCGCGTTACTTTAACAATTGCATGGTCATGCAATGCTGCAACCAAATGAAATTTACAACCTTTTTTTTCTTCTCAGAAATTGAGCTTTTGTTTGGTGGTAGTTGATTGCCTGTGCGTTTTTTATTTTTTGTGCTATAAAAAAAAAAAAAAAAAATAAAAAATAAAAAAAACCCCAGAATTGAGAAAAAAACAGCTTGACTTTTTGTTATTAAACATGTCCAGTAAAAAATAAAAAAAAAAAAAAAAATAAAATTTCGTCATAAATTTAGGCCAAAATGTACTCTGCTACGTCTTTGCTAGAAAAAAAAAATTAATTTGTTTACGTGAAAGTTATAGCATTTAGAAATGGCGGTATATATACTGGGATTTTTTTATTTTTGCTAGTAATGGCAGTGATCAGTGATTTATACCGGGACTGCGGGGGGGCATTCTGACACTGGGGGGAACTGACTTGTCACCGACATCCCCAGGGACATCAATACAGCGATCGATGCTAATAAAAAGCACTGACACTGTACTAATGACACGGAGCAGGAAGGGGTTAACATGTGGGGCAATCAAAGGGTTAACTGTGTGCCGTTTACATTGTGTCCTGTGTGTGTGTGCTTCAATGTAAGCACACTGCTTTGCAAAGCAGTGAGCAGGAGCTGACAGGGGAGAGAACTGTATTGTTTACAAACAGTTCTCCCCCCCCCCCTTTGGAGATGCTTGGCAATCACCGGGCACGCACGCCCCCTACCCGAAACAGCAAAATCACACATACGTATATACATACATATATACACACACACACACACACACACATACACATATATATACATATATATATATACATATATATATATACATACATACATATATATACATACATACACACACACACACACATGATTTTGCGCACCCGTGCCGCCCTGTAGCAGTACTTCTGCTATAGGGCGGATGGGAAACGGTTAATAAATTTTGTTTGCAATCAATGGTCCTCATTTGTGGGAGTATTTTGTAGTTTAGTGTGCTAAAGAAAAAGTTGATTCTGAAAGGAAAGTAAAGGTTTTCTGACACATCTGTTGAAGTGTACTAATTTATGCTGAGCACTGTATATATAGTGGAAGAGACTATTTTTTGCCATAAACTCTTCCCCTGGCTGCCACCAGCTTTTTACTAATTCAACAGTCATGAGCATCTCAAAGTACAATTTCCACATTCTTTAAAGTTCTTCAATGTATTAACTCCAGTGCACAGATGTGGGAGTTAAGTCCTTGCAGACAATTAAAGCGATAAGTTCACTTTTCTAACACAAAATAACAAATGCACATTTTTTTTGCAGGTAAAAAAAAAAAGTACATTATTATTATTTTTGAAGCCTGAAAAGCATTGTACCAGCTGGTCAACTTCTCCTTGTCATGGGTGGGGGTGGATTGGGCAGCGGCTGCAGCAGTGGGAATATGTTACATGTTCCATCCTAAAAAGAGATGGAACATGTAACATGTTCCCAAAGGAGAATTTATCCTCTAAGACTGCCAAAGACTCCAGACATGAACACATTGGCGCAATGTGGAGGACATCACATCACTGGGTAAGGGCGCTTTGCAAGGTAAATGTGACACAAGTGCAAATATGCTGTGCATACTTGCACATTATAGGTAAAATCTATCATGATTCAGACTTAATTTTTCACTTTAATCGCTTTTTCACACCAGCCTCGCTGTGCTATATTGCCCAATGCAATCCCAGGGCATAAACATGACAATATGCCTTATCTCCTGTTTCAGTTCACACACTGCATTACAATAAGCTGTGGGACATAGGTTTTAAGGTATTGGGGTCTCTGGGTTATATGCTCAAATACTCACAATAATTTTTTTTTTATCATTGTTAAATTTTTCTTTCATATATGCACTTTTTAAACTCTTTTAAACTTGGCAATATCACTATCCTATCCCTTTTCCTCAAAGGGAATCTGTCACAACCCTGTAGTGTTTAGTCTGCATGTACAATGGAAGAATATATCAACAAAAACTACTTTTCAGTGAAAATGGATTGTCAAAACAACCAGTTGTACCAGTGATATAAGCAGCTTTATTTGTAAGCAAATTCTGATTAATTTAAGCTTACTATTTAATTTGAGTTAACTCCCAATTCCCTGTTTGTTGCTTTAGGTGTTGGAAAGCCTCAATTGCCAATATGGACACTTTGGATGTAGATATTAGATGAAGTCAAGCTCTGGTTTTACAAGAAGAAATTAGGTCTACAATGTAATTTTAGTTCTCTGTATTTATGGGTCAGCTAAGTGTTTTCACATACAGTTTTTATTGAAGATATTCTCTGCTGACACATTTTTCATCCTATGGAAACTTCTTTCCAGTTCAGCCAAAGCATGCATGTGAAACATACAATGCAGGTATACTTCCTTTTTGACATATAAAAGGAAATAAGATATTCGTTACAAATCATTTTTTTCTAGATTTCAGAACCTGTCCTTAGTGAAGGAATAATTACAGCTATTGAAACTCTAGTTACCTGTACCAGTTCCAATTGTCAAAAAGAACCGTTGAGTTGGTTTTAGCATGTGAATTTATTAGGTCGAGTATGGGCAGTCTTAGCCTGACATGATTTTCAACAAAATGGTACATTTAATTATAAGCTGAGGAAATCCCGCACAGACATTTTACTATAGCAATTAAATTCCTAATTATCCAATCTGAAAGGGATCCTGGTTTCTTACAATTAATTAGAAGCAAGAAAGCAGTCTTAAATTAGGTGGAGCAAACATTCCCCACAGTGAGTTCACTTCAAGATCACAGCAGCTACGTAGTTCTATTTTAATGCTCAAACACATAAATATAACCTATGCAGAAAAGGAAAACATTCTTCCATATTCATTCTGTTGGCAAACCTTTTTTGGTTGTACTTCTCTCTAGGGTCACAGGTATACACTTGCTAATGCACTCCTGCTACTCAAGAGTCAGCTGACAGTGGCCTATCGCTCTGGAGGAATTCAAATGACACTTTCAGGATCCACCCATGCTCCCACCATCTCCAACCTGGTGCTCTAGTGAGCACTGAAGAAACACTACAGGGTTCAGTGTCTTACAGCCATTGTTCTGGTGCAGTGTCTTACAGCCATTGTTCTCTGCTGTGAACAGATGTGGGACAGCTGCAGTTTCAAATTGATGCTGGAGCATAGAGTTTTTTTATTTTTTTTAGCAACCCCACGCATCTCCTTTAATTTCCTATGTTTTAACAAACCCCATGTAGTAGCAGTGTTTTGGAAATCAACTTCTGATGTTAGTGATGGCGACAGCAGTAAATGCAATGAAAACATTTGTCCAATCCAGCTCAAGTAGGTTTTTAAAGAATGTAGATAACATCAAGTGTGGTACTTCCATCCTTTTAAAGTTATATCCGTCATGCTATTTAAAAAAAAAAAAAAAAAAAAAAAAAAAAAGAAGGAGGGTGAACGGGGGTAAAAGGATACTACTCTGGAGAGTGATTTGAAGGGGGGCACAGGGCAGAGGATGCTAATGTAGGGGGTGGGCAGAATGTTCTAGCATTCAGTGCATACTAAAACATTATGACATTACCCTGCGGGGAAACCTGTTTTTTTGTTTTTAACGTGGTTTACTACCGCTCTAAGAATTGTTTACTGCAGTGTGCTATGCAGACGGGTTAGTGCAAGGAAATGAAGTTCAGCCTTTGCATGATCCAGTGTGGTTCTGTTAGATTATGGGTGGCAGAGTCCATTTACCTACCTGTTGCCATTATGGTATCCTCATTTCCTTGTGTAAATACAATAACCCTTGGCCTTTTCGAGTTCACCTTTGGAAGAGCCTGAGCCTTTCTGGCGATTTCCTTTATATCTTCAGTCTAGGGAAGAATAAAATGTAAGGATGTAAATACATATGGTAAAGAGACTCTAATACTATTTACATTTCTTTTTAATCATCATTGCATGAAAGTAAAAATTATTAATGTTCTCAGAAAGTTCCAATAACTTTCATAGGTATGCCCCAACTCCACTTGATTCTTATCTTTAATATCATAATAATAATTATGGCACTGCTCATTCGGATTTCTTCTCTTCCACTACTCACCAGCTTTTTGTAATGGTGGAAATGCAAATCACGAGAGGCTGGGATGCATTTGTGGACATTATGTCTGCTACCATGTATATTAACAGAAATAATGGCATACAAGCATTACTGCTGCTGCTGTACAAATAACAGCACAGTACTACTGGCTTATTTTACAAAATACTTTATTTTGGATAGGGTGAGGGGCATTAGGACACCCATCAATAATTATTTTTGTTAGTACACTCATTTAGGAGATTTCTTTTTTACTTCTTGTCTATATCATGGTACAATGAGAAGTGCTCCCCAATATGAATACAGACCACTATAAAAACACATTTTCCAGTAGTACAGAAAATGGTAAGAATCAGTCAGGATTTTAATGCTGTACTTTGCCCTTTCAAGAAGATTTTACCTATCCTCCTTGATCAAGCGATGGGTGTCTGACAGAATAGTAGGCCAGAATAGATATCCCCAATGAGGACACAGAGCAAGCAAAACCTTACAAACATTCTAACTCCTCTTGATTTGATGGACGCTAAGAGGTTTTGGCTGGAGTTGAACTATAAACAAGGTATACCATTCTGGAAAGGTCTGCTCCCAAAATGTCCAGGTCATGGTATAGCTGGTAGTAAAGTCTAATTCAATTGGACTTCTAGCTTCATTGCTTATCCAAGCTGCTGTAGCTATAAATGTAAATTCTAATAAGACAGAAAGTGGAAGAAATTAAATAGTTTGGCATTACAACTACCTATAGAGCCTATAAAGAGTAGTTGAGTTTACAATAAGCTAACAAGAAAGGACAGATCAACAATTTCACCAACTTACTACTATGAACCAGCAACAGAACAGAGGAGTTAACCTTGAGGAAAAGGGATGATAGTGGAACAACCCACAGCAATAAGGACATGTGGGTAAAGAACCTTTCAAATAGAGTGCTTACAAAATCCTCCACCCATAACCATCAGACATCGGCAGAAGAGGCTGAAAAACTCCATTTGAGGGATTCAGCAGCAACATTGATTGCCAAAACACCCCCTTCCAATATGACCTCACTAGAGAGGAAGGCTCTTACAATTCTTAGTACAGATCTGATCATCACCATCCTGCCAGTAGACATGGGATAACGCACCGTGAACATGAATACATCTAATTACCATTACTTGGTAGAAAAGGTAAAAGCCATTTTTAACATCTTGAACCACAGTCTCCAAGGAAAGCTTGACCATGCCTATATAGGCTTCCTAAGACACACAAGGCAGGTGAGTCTCTATGACTGACTGTCAGCAGCATCAACGCTGTCACATACAACATCGTGAAAAATTTGGCTACTAACCTAGCACCCTACACGGGCAACACTGTACTCCAATAGAATTAAGAACCAGAAGAGAAAATTGTGTCTTATGTGGTTGAGGCAACTGCAGACATTATTGAGACAGTAAGAAAACGTCTGAAATAAGATGAGACTTAATAGTGGAAGACAACTCAAGCCAGATCAAAGTATGTTTTTTTTTTTCAAGTACAAGGATATCATCTGCAGAGAGACACAGCTACGCTATAGAATTACCTGTATGTCTCATTGTAACTAACATGTATATGGAGGAAGTGGATAAACTCTCTCAGGGAAATAACACCAAGTCACTGGTTTGGGTATTTAGATGACACGTTGGTCAAATTTAGCGCACTAAAAATGCAAGCTTTTTGTGAATGCAGACTTACTGGACAACTACATCAATTTTACATGGGAACAGGCACTGAATAACAAAATTACCCTTTTGGACAGTGGTTAACATGGTGTGTGTGTCTTGGAAATTGAGGGCTATACCAGTATCTGCTTTTTGACTTCTACCACCCACTGCAATATACTTTTTAGTTATTAGAACACGCAGCAACATCAGGCTGAGATGGTAATTTAAAAATAAAAAAACCCCAGCAGCTCAGGAATACAATGAAAGTTTGTGGCTACCAAGACTGGACTTTTGTTAAAACATACACAGGGACAGGCAAAAAAGCGGGATCATCTACATCAGGTGTAAAGTAAGAGAGTCAATTTCACATTTGGCCGGAGTGTTGGAAAAAATTCAGGATCTTCAACATAGATTGCATACCTGTATTCTCCAAGCCAAGCAATTTTCAGAGTAATACAACCCCCCCCCCAAAAAAAAACAAAAACAAAACAAAACTCAAAACAACAAGATAAAAACCCCAAACACCCAAGTGATAAAGGGAACTGCCTCAAAGCATGCCACCATGAGAGACGGAACCATCATTCAGAAGTGAATGACTTTCCTCCACATTTTTAAATATGACCTGAAGGTGTGAGAGCTGAAACTTAGGGAGGGAATCTTTTCCAGAGGGAGGAAGATTCTTGCTTGGGCTGTGTCCAAGGTTAGACCTAGGGACTCCAAGACGATGTGAGGGCTGTAAGGAAGACTTTGGAAAGTGGATCATCCAGCCAAAGGTTTGAAGGAGCTGGACGAGGACAAAGATCCTGGCTAAGGAGTCATTTAGCAAAAGGTCATCCAGGTAACCTGTAACATGAATGCAATGGATTTCAAAGAAGTAGATTCAGAAGCAGAGCAAGCACTTTTGTGAACACTTGGGGTGCAGGGGAGCCCAGAGGAGAGTCCTTCCTTTGGTCTGAAATTGGCAGATGTGAAGGTACAAAGCAAATAGGGGAGGAGGGAAAGCAACAATTTTTACTATTTGATATGACAGATTTAACCCAGAGATCCATGACGTCTTGGATCCAGACTGGCACAAATGCCAACAAACGTCAGAGGACAGTCCTGTCAAATGACATTTTCAAGAGCATCAACAGAAAACAAAATAGGGCTGAAGCCATCAGCTAAAATTGTCCTAAGAGCAGGTTCATCAAAGACAGGTTCCTGCTCTCTGTTCATTTGTCTCAACCAGTTAGTAAAAACTTGGCAAAGAGACATGGTGGAAATTGCTAGCTGCAGGGCTGGACTTGCAAGAGTAAATAAGGCCTTTTAAAGGGCTTCAAACAGCCTATCAACAGAATTTTAAAAAGAAGAAACATCCTCAATGGGAGCGGTAAGGTGTTTATCAAGAACTTAAGCGGCAGGGTACACTACAGAAAGATCTTTTTTTCTTTTTAAAATCCCTTTCCATAGGAAAATTATTAGCAAAAAGCACAGCAAATCCATACAGTACACATTTAATTTAATATGAACATTAGGAGTAAAAGTCTTTTAGACTTTGCTAGGTTTAGTACCCATAGGGGTCCATTTCAGCTGTTGAGAGTCAAGAGCTGTTAGGCAAAAACTAGTGGGTGCCGCATCAATAGGTGTGTCCACAATGGAAAGCATTTGGCATGAAGCCATAGCTTGTAAATGATATGTTTCAGGAGAGGGGGGGCAATCCTCTGCTACAAAATGTACCTCAATACTTTCCTCAACATTTTGAAATATGAAGAGGGTCAGGGGGAGACAAGGGGAAAGTGTTGTGTTTTTATCATCTGGAAACCAAATGTTCTAGGAGTGCCAAAGGTTTTCCAAAGAATTCAGACATCATGGCACAGAAATTTGCTTTTGCCAGTTAGATGGTGATAGGAGGTTCAGATGAAAAAACTTCAATGGTTTAAACAGAAAAATACCACAAGAGAAGAACAGGTCCATCATCTAAGGACACTAGCAAAAATGGAGCCTCACAGAGTGGGCAGGGTTATATGGGTACGCCCCACATATTAAACACGTTAACAGAAAACAAGGTATATGCCTAACAAACTTTAACAGAAGCTTGATGTTGAGTGCAGACACTCCTGGTGGCACAGGCCTTGACCAGGAAAAAAAAGGAACCTTGCCCTTAAAGTAGTTGTAACGCTAAAAAGAAAAATACTGCTGCTTATCCTTTGAGGCAGGATATATAGCACGGTGCTTTTGCAGTGTCATTTGTCTCATTCCTTGTTGTACAATACTTGGTTCATCCTGCTTTTTCCTGTGTTCCCGTATGTATACTGACCACGCTGATCATAGCTGCTGATCTAGGATAGTGTTATCAGATTACAAGCTTCCATCATTCTGCTCTCTTCTAAGAGTCTCTGCATCCCCCCCACCCTCTGTCTGTCATTTCTGTAGTCTGTGTGTGAGACAATCTCCTCCCTGCCCTTTCCCCTCTCCTCCCCTTCTACTTTGAGTAACACTATTCTCAGCAGCTGCTCCAATGCTTGTAAAGAAAAATTACTTTGATTCTCTGTTTTAGGTCCCTGTTTAGTACAGTGTGTGTGCGCGCGTTTTCTTAAAGGGATGCTACATGCCGCCTTTGCACAGTGCTGCTGTGCAGTCACATATCCTCCCTCTGCCGTTTTGCATATATTAGAAGGGAATCTCAGCCCCTCAGCCCCTCCAACTGAACTCTCTTAGATCTTAGATCAGGATGGAAAGCAGAGGTGGTTAGTGGGGGGGTGGATAAAATACCTAGGAATAAAACTCACTGCCTCATCTAAGCATTTGTATAGATTAAACTACATCTCTTTGATAAATGAGATCAGGGAAGATTTAAAAAGACTAGAAGGAGGAAACCCATCCTGGATAGGACGTATAAACCTAGTCAAAATGGTAATTATGCCTAAAATACTGTATAGATTTCAAATGGTACCAATTAAAATTCCAGAGGCCTTCTTTAAGATAATGAAAAAAATGTTAACAAGATACATATGGAAGAATAAAAAACCTAGAATAGCATATGAAACATTGAGTAGGACTAAAGAGAAAGGGGGATTGGGTCTACCAGATGTCAAGAGATATTATAAAAGCAGTAAATAAGGGGGGA